TTTTGTTAAAGCCACGAACGCTAGAGCGGGCCGCGCGCGGATGGTCAAATGGGTTATACTGATACCTTAACCGCAGCTAAAAATATCACACAAATCCATCAAAAAATCAGTGTTATGTGTATCTGCAGATTTCATATGTCAGTAACTGGGACATGATAAAAATAAATTTTTGTAATCCAAAAGGATCAGTTGCTGCGTGGCACGGTAAACAGTTCAAAGGTTGTAAATAGTAATAATTCAATGCCAAATTAAACTCAGTTTTACTCAATTTTTAAACTTAATTCTTAAACTCAATTTTTAAACCCAATTTTTATTACTGTATCCTACAAAAATTGAGTTCAATTTGGCACTGAATTATTGATTTACATGCTTGAAATAGACTTTTATTTTAATAACCTTTTATTACCTAACGGTGAGCAGATCAGCCAACTTTAGATCGCAGTCTGGGTATCGTCAAATAGAATTGTGGTAATGTCATTCTTCCCAGTGGAAAGCCTGCAGTTATCACTAAGGACTTCGCAACGTGGCCTACTATCAAAAACTTTCAAACCGTTCCCGATGCCAGTGCCCAGGCTTCCTTCCGTTAATAAACAGATGCGCAGATTTGGGAACGAGAATGGGGTAACATGTCGATTATCTTGCGCATGCCCAATGCGTTTTAAAAGACATTCCTCTCGTGCCATGATTTCTTATTCCCTGCCATCAAAAATGTGCTTTCAATCGTCGTCTAAAACTAGCGTATTGGGTAAATACCTTTCAACGGCACAGAGCAAGCCATGTTTCACTGAACAGACTCCAATACAAACTGGAAAATCTTCGGTATCCAATTCAATTCTCTCAAGGAAACTAAGCGACAAAAGAAGCTTACAAAAGGTTTCTATTTTGGTGGTCATTAAATTGAAATTTACTGCTTTGTTTTCCCTCGATTACATAATCCACTCTTTACATTGTAGGCAACTTTTAAGTTTAGAGGTTTAACTGTTTTCGTATGTCGCTAGAATATGAAAAGTAAACTTTTAAAGGAAATTTTAAATTTTGTCGGATTGAGTCGGGTGCCTTTTGATATCTCAACCGTGGCATCGGCCGCAAAACTTTGGGAGCAACGATTTAGCTAGGTAGAAGCTCATGATACAAGAAACAAAGCTGAGATGAAAAATCAGTGAAAAATGGCGTTCTCCAGTGCAAGAAAATTAACAAAGAGAATTTGCCGACGGAATTTGATCATAATGAGCTTATGCCAAAAATGACTGAAAAGAATGACAGCGGATTTATTAGGATTCTGACGCTACCTTTACTTCACATTGCATCTTTTTGTACACCATCATTTTACTTTTTGTTTAAGATCACCTCTAGGTGGTTGTGCATCAGTCAATCCGTGATATATTAACCATAGTTCTTGAGTCAATTCCATGAACCGATCAACAATCGCTTACTACTTTTAGATCCTGATGTCTGTGAACAGCCGTTTTTATCATGCAACTGAACTGAGGTAAATTTACCATTTTAGGTAACTAAGAACATAGTCCTTCTCGGATGTCCTCCATCAATTATAAGATTACCTGCCCGTTATTCTGTTGACGTTAGTAATAACGGCGCATAAGACTAAGTCAAAAGCCGCTTACTCTAGAGGTACTCTGTTTTTTAATGAGCTTAACAAGTGTACATTGTGTAATTTACGTTGTTGTTTTAAAAAGCAGGAAATCCAACAGGTTAATGAAGAGCACAAGTCTGTAATCCATTAGCTCAAATTTAATTGCCTTTACATTCAATTCTGTTTGCTTCTGTGGACTTCCTGAAATATCATACTGAGCTGTAGGCAGAAGAGTTCACGAAATGGGAGTACGTCGTTCAATGAAATGTTTAAAGAACAAACAGCAACGCGATATTTTCGAGTTAAGTACGTCATGATTTCTCTAGCTTGTCAGCTTGTTTGTTGACTGTGTATCGATTTCCACGTGAACGATCGAGATCTGTAAAATCTTAAAAATTCTGTCGGAAAAAACATCTTTTCGTAGTTCCATAAGCGACGAACATATTTGAACGAAAAGTGTAATTTTATTTGGCATCAAAAACACCACATATATCAAATTCCGAATACTACAAAATCTTTCTTGAAAGATGTGTTCTGCGGACACACATAAATCAAGCTTATGTTTCTTGATAACAATGAACATACGCACATGCGAGTCCTGATTCCATTTTTAACTTGCACATCAGCCGTTACAGATTTACACAGAACTAAAAATACACTTTGTGTCAGGATGTCAATGCTTAGTTTTGTCTTGGTTTCTATTGCAACAGATAAGAAACAAAATTGACCGGAAAAAAAAAATCAAAGATGACGGAATGCGATGTCTATAAACATCATGTGCAGCGACGGTGGAGATTGAACAGAGACTGAAGCTCAGACAACTCAGTCAGGTTACAGCCTTAGTGCCGTCAAACATAGCATCATATCAAGTGTTTTAAGTAGTCAGTAGTAGATGACGTCGATGGCTCTAAACGATTCAATAACTTATCACAAAGTCCAGAGCCCCGGGGGGGGGAGGGTACCGCCATATATGGGCTATATAGGTATGTGCCGCTGTGAAGGGTATGGTTTTCAAGCAGTTTACTC